TGATAAAAATTCTGTTAGTAATATTAGCGATGAAGATTCACAAAGTAGGTATTTCATACTTTTACTTTAAATTTTGTACATTATTTTAATACTGTAATGATTAAACTATTGTAGAAGATCGATGTTCAAATGTATGCGAGACGCCTAGCACCTGTGATGAAATTATAAAGATAATAATTAATAAATATGAGAATGATGATGACCCTAATCTTAAGAAAGATATCAGCATTTGTGATGCACATTTGCATATAGCTTGCGGAGATGCTAAAGGGCTAAAATTGCATGTTAAAAGCATTGGACTACGCCACTATAAGTCACCTTTAGACACATTCAAATACTTTCCTTGCTATGATTTTACTTTATTTTATTGCAATCCAACTGCAATTATTTCTATTTTTGAAGTTTTCAAATCAATTGGCTTGGATTTCGTAGAAAATTTCCTAAGCATTCATTATATTTTACAATCAAAATATAATGAACTTACTATTCCTGAGAGTTTGGTTGAATTTGAAAAAATTTTGGAATGGTTAATTCAAAACAATTATGACATTGATGTTAAAGACAAACTTCATAACCATTCTTTATATTATCTTCTTAACGAAACCAGATTGACAATATACTATCCTGAGATTATTTTAATTTTTTTGAGAAATGGCTTAAATCCTAACATTTCTTTATCTCCTGACATTACAAATTTATTATTCTATGTCATATCCAGAAACTTCCCTGTTAATTTTCTTGAGTTAATCCTTATGTATCGGATTGATTTAACTTCTAAAAATGCCGAGAGACTAGATTTTCTTGGGTATATTATAAAGCTTGATAAGCTGGAAATGTTACGATGGGTTCTATGCAACGTTCCTGAGTTTAAAGAAAAACAAACCAAAGTTTTTAGAGAGTTTAATGCTCTTCAATATGCTATGTATCTCAATGATATAGAAGCTATAAAGTGTATTCTAGAGTGTGCTCCTGTATATAGAGATGCTATGATTAAAAATGATAAAGGCTTGAATTCACTTGGACAATTTATACAGTTCAATGATCTAGAGTCATTAAGATGGGTTTTATGTAATATTGATGAATTTGGAGATAAGATAGTTGAAGTATGTGAAGGTTGGAATGCGTTACAATATTCAATGAATATTGATAATCTTGAAGCTGTTAAATGTATTTTAGAAAATGCTCCTATATATCAAAATCCAAATATTAAAAATGAAATTGGATTGAATGTCCTTGGATATGTTATACACCTTAACGATTTAAAGGCTTTACAATGGATTTTGGAATTTATTCCCGAATTTACTAGCAATATAATAGATGTTTGTGAAGGTTGGAATGCTCTTCAGTTTGCTATGGAAATAAATAATATTGATGCTATCAAATGCCTTTTAGAAAAAAATGCATCTGTATATAGAGATATTTCTATTAAAAATAGTAAGGGGTTTAATGTTCTTGGTCAGATGATTTGTGACAGCCAAGTAGAAGCATTAGAATGGATTTTGGAAAATATTACCGAATTCGAAGATGGGATCATTAATATTTTTGAAAACCAATATGCTCTTGAATATGCTATTATTAATAAAAAATGGGAAGAAATGAAATATATTTTGAAGAAAGCTCCAGCAAATAAATATATCCCGATAAAAAACGATAAGGGATTCAATTTTCTTGGACAAATCATTTTTAATAATCATTTAGAAATATTAAAATGGATTTTGGATAATATTCCTGAATTTAAAAACAATGTTGTTGAAGTTTGTGATGAGTGGAATGCTCTTCAATTTGCCATGAACCTTAATCATTTTGAGGCAGTAAAATGTCTTTTAGAAAAAACTTCTGTATATAGGAGTATAACAATTAAGGACATTTTTGGATTGAATGTTATTTGTCATTTTATACAATTTAATAATTTAGAGATGTTACAATGGATTCTTAATAACGTTCCTGAATTTACTAATAATACCACAGAAAAATGGAATTCACTTCAGTTTTCTATGGACATTAATAACCCAGAAGCTGTACAATGCCTTTTAGAGAAGGTTCCTCTATACAAAGATAATATAATTATCAAAGATAGTGGCGGATTGAACATTCTTGGCTATGCTATTTACAATAACCAGTTGAATTTGTTAGAATGGATATTAGACTATATTCCTAAATTTAAAAATGAGATAATTAAAGTTCACGAAGATCGGAATGCACTTGAAGCTGCAATGGATGTTAATAATCCATTAGTTATAAAATGTCTTTTGGAAAAAGCTCATGTGTACCAAGATAAAAATATTAAAAATAGTTCTGAACGGAATATTCTCGGCCATGTTATTTATCATAACCAATTAGAATTATTGGAATGGATGTTGAAAAATACTCCTAAATTTGGAAATAATATAGTCAACGTGTGGAAGAATTATAATGCACTTCAATTTGCAATGTGTCAATTTAATACAGAAGCTATAGAATGCCTCTTATATAATACTCAAGAATATAGAGATGTTTCAATTAGATATGAGGGACGAAATGTTCTTGGGCATACTATTTATCACAACCAATTAGAGGCATTGCAACGTATCTTAGAAAATATTCCTGAATTTAAGAATAATATTGTTGATGTTTATGGTGGATATAATGCTCTTCAATTTGCAATGTACCAGGATAATATGGAAGCAGCTATATGTATCTTAGATAAGGCTCATTTATATAGGGACGCTACAATAAAAATTAATGAAGAGAAAATTGAAGGGTTGAATATTCTTGGATATGCTATTCGTTATAATCAATTAGAAGCACTAGAATGGATTTTAAAAAATATTCCTCAGTTTAGGAATGAAATAATTGATGTATGTGAAAGTAAAAATGCTCTTAAATATGCAAAATGTCGGAATAATGCTAAGGCTATTAAATGCCTTATAGAAAATTCTCAAACATATAGAGATTTAGCAATAAGAGATGAGGAATTAAATATTTTCGAATGGGCTTATAAAAATAAAAGACATGAGGTAATTGAGCCTCTTTCGATATTCATTTTGCGGTATTATAGCAAAAATGATATGAATTAATTTTTTATTTGAATAATTTATATAACTATGTACTGACCATTTATATATTATTAAATTAATATTTTTCAAACAATGCAATTATAAATATTATATTAAATTTTATTTAAAATAAAAGCGCCTAGTTATTGTAGAAGTCTTCAATTTACATGTGTTTATTATCATGCTAATTTATTTTGTAATTGAAACTGTTACTAATCATTTGAATTCATATTTTTATGAATCACTCTAGAAATTTTTAAAATCATCATAAAGAACTCACTTAGTTCAAAAAATTTTCGACTTACTAAATTTGGCAAAGAACTTAGATTGAAAATGATATTCTTGTTTTTAGTCCTTCTTAGGTCTTAATAATTTTTTTAAAATTGTTTAATGTCCAAAGAATTTTTCAATTCATGAATTGTCACGCAAAAAGACTTAGCATTAGATCAGATGTTATTGTGGATAGTAAAAAAACCTTATTTAAGTATAAATTGCGCAATTATTAATTAGATTAAAGTTTCAAAAACAAGGAAACCAGTGATATTTTCGTGGTCATCACATCACATGAGTACGTAAGTGTTCGGCCTAAGTTAGGTTAGTGTTAGGGTTAGGTGATAGGATAGTTTGGGCCAATTTTATAGTGCTAGTAAACATGTGATGTGTTATAAATGACTTTTACGGTGACTTTTTGTTATCATTTAATATTAATGAAACGTATAAATAAAGAGAAAACTTAACCTAAGCCGGGGTCTATTATTAATCCGTAGACCCCCCTATTTTACATATATAATGATCTGCATAATTTTTTGATGCTTTATCTTTTAGTATTGTCACTCTTGGTGTCGTCGCTTTTGGTGATGCTTTTTTGTTGTGATTTTGTCATTTCGTCATCAGAGTTGTTGTGGTTTCTTTTAGATGTTATCGCTTCCTAGTAAGTTGATATTTTTCGTACCTTTTTTAGAATTTTTTTTTGCTGCCCTTCCAGCAGGTTTTTAATATTTTTTCATAGGCCTTATTATTTTTGTGCATTCTTGTTGTTTTTGGTGTCGTCACTTTTTTGATATTATTTCATTATGTTTTGTGTAATCTCGTCTTCAGAGTCACTATGATGTTGCTTTCCTGTGAAACGTTTTTTGGGTGTATTTTTTTGTCATCTTTGTTGCTTTAAGTATATTTTTTATTAGGTCTTGTAGTCCTTTGTACATTACTCACCGCTTTTTAATATTTGTAGGCTTTATGATGGATTTTTTTGTTTTTTTTCATTTTTGCCACCATTTTTCAATTTTTTTTATTTTCGCTTGCATATTATAAATAATAATAAATAAGTAAATAAAATTAACAAAAAAAATAAAAAAACTATCTTTTTTTTAAAAAAATCAATTTAAATTTTATTACAAAACTGGCTTTGTGGCGATATGCATATAGTAAAAAAACTTAGAATTTTTTTTACTCGATAGCTATTATCTAAACCAATCATATTTGAGGTCTAGTTTAATTTGCCTAAACCCTGGGTCCATGATAACTATACTAAACCAGGTGTCTAGAATAGGGACGCTCATAAATAAATTGCTCGGTAATGGTTCCAAAGTCACAAGGTGGCACGTTATTGCAACTCCATGTGACAGTAAGTCACAGGATTGTTCATGATGAAATAGTATTTGATTAACCTAATGATCTGTGTTTCACCACTCCCAAAAAAAACAAAAAACAAACGATGCTCTAAAATTCTGCATATGTCATATCAGATAGCTTGTTCTGCAACTTTATCCCATACTGTATTACATTATTTGCACAAAAATATTGTTGCCGCAGTAAGAAGGATGTAGTGATACAAATCAAAAGTTGAAAAATCGATTAGTTGAACAAGTTGACAACTAATCGATTTTATTTTTTAAACCAACTTACTGCAGTTTGCAAAAAAATGTGAAATTTGCAAATAAAAAAAAAGAAATCAATGATTTCTAATTTCTGATTGCTGATTTTTTAAGATGACGTATGTATATCAACTAATATTATACTATATAAAGTCTTTTATATATTTATTTAGCATATATTTTTTTAAAAAAATTCATTTCTAATGACTAAAATTATTATCCTGGAACATGCTTTGGATGCACAAAGTGTTTTTTTGTCATCTTCTAGAATTTATTGTAATAAAAAAATGTATATATGGGGTCCGGCAAACAAAAACACGGCTTATGGCATTTTTTTGCAAAATAGAGTTAATGATACTATTGTATAAAG